AACCTAGATGATTCTATGATTCTATGATTCTATGATTTAGCATTATTTTAGAAGACAACTTTAATCCTCAAAGGAAGAAAATGTATTCAGCTTTGCTACAGAAAGACGTTACCACATATCAGCTGCTCTGTGGTAGTTCATATGTGTGTTCTTACCCAGGACAAAGTATTTTGCATTTATTGTATGGACTGGTGTCTTGATGGATTATTCTGCATTTACTTGTTTGTGTATTAAATTGCAGCTGAAAACTGACATCCAAAAAGGTACCTAATCTGTTCCTGATCGCTGACATAGTAGCAGAACTAAGAATCAGAAACAAAAAGCCTCAACTCCCATTTTCCCTTGTCCTCCCACTAGTATGTGCGTGGCCAATAACTGAACATGTTTATTAAGTGAGCTGTGTTTTTGGTTTTTTTTTTTTAACAGCTTGCAAAGAATATTGGGAATGCTGGGTTTAATGAGATTATGGAATTCTGTCTGCCAGTTGATGAGATGGTCAAACCTAATCCAAGCAGTGATATGTAAGTAAGAGCCACTATTTCTGAAAAAGACAGGCATTTAATTTAATATTGCTAATGGGCTGTGCCATTAGGGTTTGCACCAGCAGGCCATGGAAGATGTATAATGTCTTTATATATAGCCATATAGTCAAGGAGTAAACCTTTTTTCTGATGCTTTGCATGTCTGTTTTATTGAACTTTATCTGACTGTACCTTCCCTCATAGTAAGGATTATTTTACCAACTCTCTGAATCATGATTTGTGGGACAGGAACAAATTAAACATGACTTGTTGGGAATTTTAAAGACACACAAGGGTAGGGATTAAAACCACAGCTATTAATTTTGTGCTATTTAAACACAAAATAGAAATTGGAATAAGGTACACATTTTACCTGAAAGATACTGGACACCTGATGTTTAGGAACTGCACCTGGGACTTATGTCCCTAACTATGTGGAATAAAGATACAACATTTAATTGAATTCCTCGAAAACACTGAACTGCAATGGCAGAGACACAACAAAGGCAGCTGCCTACTTGGCTGGATCGTAAAAGAGCTAGTGAATGATACAGAAACAAACCCAGAGGAATTGGCTTTGGATGAAGCTGATTTTACATCATCTGGACTTTCACCATTCTGACAATCAATGTTAAACCATGCAGTTTAAATTATTTTTGACTACCACTATCAATGATAATACAGAATATTAGTATTAATAATTAAAATTACTAATAATTTTACTGAATTCTAACTCAATAGCATAAGATGACTTCTAAAAAGTGATATTTTAAAAAAATTTAGTTTGATACATCTACATATCAAATTTAGGTTTTTTTAATGAAATGAGAACCTGAAGACAAACACTTTTTGAAAAAGAAGGAATACTGTCATATGCTTTAGGAACAAGAGCTATGGAATCCATTGATTCCATTTATTATTATTTGGATTTTTTTCTTTTTGCCCATTATATAGTATCTAGATGATAAAGTATGGCTTTGCTAAATGACTTCTGTGCAACGTTGTGTACCTCCCAAGAGCTGGTAATGAGTTATGCCTTTGGGAGGCATGCAAACTCCTGTCGTGCTGTGATGGGAAGAGGAGTAGTCATTTGTTAGCTGGGTATCAACAGCAAAAGTGATATCTAATGTGCTGATTCAAGTGTGCTAAGTTTTCACCTCAGTTTGGAGGCAAAACTAAAAACTCCCTGTTATGGTTGTGGTGAGGAGTTGCTTTATAGAACATACTCACTGCTGTGAACACAGATCCAAGGCCTGGATAGTCTGTGCAGAGGTATGAGACAGTTTTTGTGTCCCATGCCCTCCATCCCTTTCCAGCATGTGTAGGAGTACAAGTCAGGTGAACGCAAACCTGCCAGGCTGCTGTTAGGAAACCAGCGTTACGAAGCTTTGATGTATCTTCTGTACATAGAGCTGGCTAATCTTGATCTCAACTTCACACCAGAGTTCAGAGGGGAAAATTCGTGGTCTGTCTTCTTGTTGGATATTTGATTCATCTTTGTAGCTACCTTTCATACTGGAAATACAAGACTGCATGTCTTACATGCATATTTAAAAACAAAAATTATCATAATGAATGAGAAACAGTCTTTCCCAGATTTTATTTCAAATGACTTGCATGTATTTATGGAAATTCTAATGTGTATCTTCTGCTAAAAGTTACAGAAGTAAATTATATTTGATTTCAGGAATGCAAGAAAAGATTATATTACTGCCAAGTATATTGAGAGAAAATATGCAAGGAAAAAGCATGCTGACAACGCAGCTAAATTACATGCTCTTTGTGAAGCAGTCAAATCACGAGACATTCTTGGATTAGTCCAAGTATATGCTGACGGTGTGGATCTCACAGAAAAAATTCCGCTGGCCAATGGCCATGTAAGTGTTGTAAATTTTATTAGACAAACTGTTATAAGTGCAATATGCTTTCATTAATTAAAAAGGACTATTCTTTCTTTGAAAATAGGATTTGAAACACTGTTCTGATACTTGTCCTTTTGATGATGTAATGTAACAATAACAAAAGAAGATATTAAATAGTTTAATCTAAAATTGTTTCCAAATAATATCATATTTTAAATGTATTAAAACACTAAACATTAAATTTTCAATAATCTATTTGTTTTCAACCCATTTGTTTATTTACTTTAAAGGAACAAAAGAGAAGCAATAAAAGTCTTCACGAGATGTTTTAATGGTAGCATGTCTGAATTTTTTGAAATTAGATGTTTTAATTGAACTAATTTATGTCTTCATAAAATTACTGCTTCTCTGTAGATCAGAAGAAACAAATGTGCTATTTTATTTTATTCTTAGGAGCAAGATGAAACAGCACTTCACCTTGCTGTTAGGTCAGTTGATCGAACATCCCTTCATATAGTTGACTTTTTAGTGCAGAACAGGTAAGTGTATGGAAAGCTATTAAAATGTTATTGGTACTGCTTTTACGTCAAGTAATAACAAATACTAAACAAATACAAGTAACACTAATTCTAGTATTTGCAAATGTAATTTTATTCTTTGAAAATCTTGTAATGAGAAAGGTTTATTAATATAGGGTAGGAAACTAAGTTTAATCAGCTTTGTTCTTCTTTCTTGTACTCCAATAGTGGCAATCTAGATAAGCAAACATGTAAAGGTAGCACAGCCCTGCATTACTGCTGTCTGACGGACAACGTTGAGTGCCTCAAACTGCTGCTGAGAGGGAAGGCTTCTATTGAAATAGGTAAAAGGGTAATGTGTACTTCAATTTCATATTTGTCACTGCTTCAGATAAGAAACAGTGAAGGTGGAATAAGTGCATTTTCTCCCCGGTGGTTTATCATAATTCTGTGAATATAATCCTCATTATTAAAAAAAAAAAAAAATATCAAACTTCACTGTTTATTTCAAGTTTAAAATTGACTTATACATTACACTTGCTTTTTAAACAAATTTAGATAAGTACCAAGACTTTCAGCTGATATCTTGTTGCTGAGTTATATTCTGCCATTTCATGGCTATCATTCCATATATACGGCATGTTGAGTTGCTACTGCTTGTTACGTTCACAGGGTTGGTATGAGGTGGACCTACATAGGAGGGAAAG